TCCACAGCCATTCTGCTTCAGCATCTCAGTGCTGTGTCCCATCCACCTGCCCTCTTCATCATCTCTCCTTTTCTGGTGGAAAACCTTTTTGTCCATCAGGGTGCCTCCTTATGGCCACCTCCCTAAGGAAGAATTTCCTGAGCTCAGCTTACTGTATCCTGTGCTATCTCCTTCTGATTTACATGATTAGGCTCCTGTGTTTTGAAACTTCCATGCCAAAGGATTTAAGGACTCCTGCTGCAGTTCCCAATTTGCCTCCTGATTCTACTTTATATAAATGGTGTGATCCTGGACACGCTTCCACTACCTGTGCATTAGCTTGTTCTAAAATGGAAGTGATATAATGTGTGTATGTTTTTGATGAGTGCACAGTGTAACACTCAGAAGCCAACTGTCACTTTACCTGCTGAATAATGCTCTGTACTGATCTAGACTGCTTCTTCTACTACAGGCTGATCAACCATAATCTGAGAGTTTAAAAACCCCAATTCTCTAAATTTCAAAACTTTTTCCATGCTGATTGGATGGCAAAGTAAAAAAATTCCACACTTCATCTTATACACAATGTTATTAAAAATTGTAGAAAATTACCTTGGACTATGAGTAAGGTGTATATGAAACCTAAATTAATTTGTTGTTTCGACCTGGGTCCCATCGCCTCCTTATATATGTATGGATGACTATTCTAAACTCTAAAAACTCAGAGATCTGAAGCCCTTCTGAAGTCAAGCATTCAGATACAGGGCACTCATGTTATCCTATTGCCCTTTCTCACTATTATTATCTTTTCCAGCACTGTCTAATTACTTATGTCTCACATTCCTTCTAGTTTTGGGTTTTGTTTTCTTGATTATTTGATTTTTCTTTTACAGAACTCTCCCATAGCAGTGGCTGAGTTTATAATAATTGAATTAAAATAATAGAATTCAAACAGATTTGTTAATATAACCCCTCCCACCAAACTAGGAGAATTCCAATCGATGCATTTACAGCCACTGGATGTCTCTACAGGGAGCAAAGTCCAGGTTCATGAGCAAAGCCTTACTTTAGGCTTCCCTAAGTCCATCCTATTTGCATTAGATACAATGGGTCTGTGGCTTAGTCCCTAAAGACACAAACACATCTTGTGACTGTTTGTTAAAACTGTTCTTTTTCCTTCTCCATTGAACCAGTATAGTGAAGGAGTGTATCCTTTCAGCTTATGGTGTTTTAAGTCTTAGCAATGAAACTGGTGAAATTAAAAAAAAAGAAAGTTATAATAAATTATTCCTTTAAAGACCATAAATTTTATTTGTTCCCTTAGAAAGTGCCAATAATCCAACTAGGTATGATGACATAGTCCTATAATCCAGAGGCTGAGGCAGGAAGACCACAAGTTCAAGGCCAACCTGGGCTACAAAGTAAAAAATCAGTCTCAAAAAGGGAGAATGAAATTCTTATCATCATAGAAATGGCAAAATGTTATCAATCCCTTTATATATGTCAGATACGTATGTGTGATGTGTATGAGTTGTTTTCCCTTTCAAATTAACATCTCTGTTGAAAGTATCCCAAATCCCAATGACCTCATTACAGAAATGAGGATACTGAGGCTTGGCATCTAGGTTTAAATAACTCAGACAGATACTGGACTCCCAGTCACCCGTGGGAGAAAAATTGTCCTATGTCCTTAATCCTTTCTCTCCAATTGAGAGGCTGGAGACTGTTGAGTACTGTTAGTGGAAATCTTGTCCATTTGTCTCGGGATGAAGGAGCAGACCTACAGACATCTACAGCACATGTTGCATCATCAGCCTGAAGCTTCAGTTCCTCTTTGTCAATAGAAACCAGTTGAAACGCTTTGTGTCTAGCTTTCACAGGGTAACTGTCCATAATGACAGTCTCATCTTTATCCACTGAGCTGCAGCTCTGTCCATAGTTCTGTCCAGAGCTCTGAGACTGGCAATGGCTGGTCCCAGTGAGTGCTGAGTCAGCTCTGTCACATGGACCTTAAGGAGTTCAGCCTGCTTAGCACTGTTGACCTAATGTTTGTAGGCATCTCCCAGAATAACTATTTTGATCTGAGGGAACTCTAACCGCTTGTCTGGGCTGTGATCCTTACCTCGGTCCCATTTTTGTCTGTTTCTATGGTTTGTTTTACCCTCCACTCCTGAAATATCATTTCTACCTCATTGTCTGTATTTTTCCTTCTTAGTCACCCTAACTACTCATGTAGCATGGTCTCTGCACTGTCCTCTGAACTGGAACAACTGGACTCCAAATACAAATTGTACTCTGGAGTTTATCTAAACAAAAAACAATAGGAGCATGGTTTCACATCATTGTGAAAGTCTTAATGTTGAGATATGTATTGAGGTGTTTTGAGATAAATAAGTGTGTGTGTGCACTCCGCCTTGCTGTGTTTATATGCCATGAGGTGTATACATACAGACATTTCCACACAACATCAAGTACTTAGAAAATGGTGGTGATTCTCCTTTTATAATTAATAAAAATATATAAACATATCCATGCAGCATCATATTTCAGATACTTTTCTTTGCATGTAGAAGCAACTTATGGATAAACTTTTATAAAATTAGGGCCTGATCTATGTAAAGATTCAAATGTCCTCTTTTTTAAGCAGATCTAAGTTTCGGTGAATGTTTATTACAGTTTATAAATTTACAAGTCCACTATGTCCCCCCCTGCAGGGGGTAATAACCTTTTTTGAGTACTCTAAAAGTTCTCAAGAATCTCAGTTGAAGAATTATGACTGTTGTGTATAAGGGAAAATTAGAAGCTTACCCTGAAAAAGATAGAAAGAAAGAAAGAAAGAAAGAAAGAAAGAAAGAAAGAAAGAAAGAAAGAAAGAAAGAAAGCTTACTCTGAAGTGTAAAAAGGGAATTTCATTATAAAAATTAATTTTAGAACCTGAGTCTTCTCCAAAATTTTAGTGGTTTTGAGTAAGACAGAATAAAGAGTAAGATTTACTTTGTTGACTTAAAAACACGAGATTAATAATTACTAAAATAGTATTATGCATCAAATTATTTTGCTTTACAAGACAAGTTTTGAGTAGACTTAAAGAAATATTTATAAAATAGAAAAAACTGAATTCCATGGAAGGCAATCTCTAGAAAAGCCATTTATGAGCTGAAATCTTAAAGTCTGCCCTAGACTAAACACTAATATTTAGAGCTTGTATATTAAGTGTGGGTGATATCCACGTGTATACAAATGCTTGATACATCTCTCAGCAGAGAGCTGTGTTGGTGGGAAAACTCTAACAATTATAAAGGGGAAGGTAGTCATGACTTAGTGGTTAAAAAAAAGGTTAGTCTCAGTTTTTAAGTTTTTAAAATCAGTGTCTTTGGAGGTGACCTACTTTCAATGCTTATATTTAACTGTAAATCTATTATTATATGAGAATTACTATATTGGATCATTGAAACCTTTACAAGTTTCCGTGCCCAGCGAGTGTTTTGCATTCAGGCTTACAATGCGTATCAGTGTCCATCCAGAAACACCTGTGTTCATATCTGTCCATGCTCACTCACACAGAAACAAGCCCTTTGTTCTGTAGCATCATGCTCAGCTTTGCTTGCTTTGTGATTTTCTTGCAGACCTCTTATATAGTCTGCCTGACTGAACAAGTTGAATGTATCGACAGTATCTGAGTGAAGATCATTTGAAATTTATTATCAGTTTTGAAATTGCATCATCTCCCCAAAATGCTAGAGACTGCCTTGCTTTTATTTTATATTATTAGTTTTTTTAGTTCTTACTGATAATAGGGTTGCAAGGAAAACACATTAACAATAAGCCTGATCTACTGACTAGCATATACTTAATGTATTTATTTTAGATTGCTGATAATTTTAAAAGATACTTCATGCAGGGTGAATTCATCAAACACTTTGTTTTCGTAATGCCGTTCTCAACTTTCCAGCAAGGAGCCAAATTTTTACCATTTTCAATTTGGAGCAGAAAAGTATCTGAGGCAGCTGTCGCTCTTAATTTGACATCTAGTTTCAGGTCATTTTCATGAGAATGGAAAAACAATAGAAACATATTTACAGTTTCCATAAATGGGATGCTTGCTCAACTTTATCATTTTCCTCTGGCAATTTTGCCTTCTCTCTCTGGAATTAAAGGAGCCAATAATTGTTCACAGTTATTATTTTTCATCTTCACAAAAACATGCTAGTCCCACTCCTTATGACCGGGAAGTTTCCAGCACAGTCTACATTTCAATCATCCACACTCCCTGTTAGTGTTTCTCACTCCTCTGTTCCTAATCTGAGCTAGGTTAGGCAGGTCAGACTTTCTGTAATACATTTTCTCTGTAAATATAAATACAAACTCTCTTTCTGCCTTAAAGATAGAAAGAAAGAAAGAAAGAAAGAAAGAAAGAAAGAAAGAAAGAAAGAAAGAAAGAAAGAAAGAAAGCAGGAGGTGAAGACTTGGAATTGTTCCATTGAGGACAACTGATGCAAGCTCTGATTTATATTGCTTTGAACATGCCCAACTGTGTTACCAACTGTGGCTTCCCTGCCATTATAAACTGCAATCCAGTGCATTTTCTAATAAATAATTTTATTTCATTTTTTTTTACCATTTTCTGGTACTCCAAGGCTAAGCATAGATACAGTTATTTCTGTGTGTTTATGGTTTGTACAGTTGTTTTTGAGTAGGTCTCATCAGGGAGAGATTTATTCTGTGGACCTCTTTTTATCTCTGTTGATTTGTGCAGATTAAGTGGGAAGCAGTTTTAGCGGTGAGTTATTGCTCAACTTTCTTTTTGCAAAGAAGATTCAAATAAGAAATCAGAAAGTCTTTTAACATGCTTGCTTTGTAGATCTTCTAAACACATCAGCAAGCCTTGCACTCCTGACTTACCCTAGATGTTGAAGTCACAATAGAGGATAGAGTCCGGGTAGGGCATCGTGGGTGGGTTAATGTACCTCATCTGGTTTTTAGCTAAAACTCATGTGTGTTCCTGTTTTGCTCTGTCCCAGTGATATGACAAGAACAGTGGAGATTTCTGGAGAAGGAGACCCCCTGGGAATACATGTGGTGCCCTTCTTTTCATCCCTGAGTGGACGGTAAGGTGTTTTCCTTGTCTCAGAAGCTCGTGCTAATGAAACCCTGATGGACGCCTTTTCCAGGAGAGAGTTAAGTGGCAATCTCTTATTCAGATGGACTTCTTAAGTAATACTTTGGTTGGCTTCATGCTTCAGAAACAGACTAAAATCATTTATTTCTAGGATGCAGAGAAAAAAAATCATCCCAATTTCTCCACTTGCAATTAATTATGAAGTACTTTCTTGGAGCATCCTTCAGAGTGACGCATAGTAAACAAGCTCCTTGGCAAAGATTTTAACATATTGTTAGACAAATGTCACAACTGAGTGGGGTTTTTTGCCATTATAATATAGTCTTCAATGAGTGAGGATAGTAATTTCAAATTCTTCATATATATAGGACTAAGAATAATAACCATTCACATTCTCATAGCTTTACTGGCTGCATACACACACACACATACACACACACACACACACAGTGACTTAGTTATAGAAGAAAAACGTATCTTTCTGTTAATTTCTTTCTAAAATACAGTTCAGACCACAAAAGACAATTCCTTACATCCTTTTAGAATTTTAGAGGCACTTGCTGATAAATCCATTCTGGCACAACTTCAGTTGTGTCAGTGTTTCTTGAAATCTACATCTGACTGGATATAAAATCTGTTTTGTTGATGGGGATGAAGTGGGTGCTGCAGAGCTGGTGTGACTGCTGGGATGATGACCTGATGGCACTCCCGGTAGGTGTACCACCTTCCCTAAGATGCTTGCCTACAGCACCCCCTGGGTCCTAATGAGGGCTCCCAGAAATCTTAAGGACAATCAGCTTTTTACTCACAGTAGCCTAAACCCCCTTTCTTAAGTGGGTCATTGAAAAGTAAGAACATTTTATTTTAGCCCAACATATCAAGGACCAGGAAAGTCCACTGATTTTTCTTTTCCCCTCATGGTCACTCAAAACTGAGATCACTGACTTGTCCTCATTCCATATCTCTTTCTAGAAGCTCAATTTCCCCAAAGGTTATATAGTATTAATGTACTGGCTCTGGATATTTACCCAATTCAGTTGACCACATGGAAGGAGAAGCAGCTTTAGTCCTGCTATTTGGGTTGGCATCCTCTTGAGCAGGTAGCCATCTGCTACCTGTAATTGCAAAGTCGTCACCTAAGTTTTCTCCCATATAACATCTGACGCCAAGCTCTTGCTAGAATGAACCACCTCTAAAAAGAAATGAAGCGGAAAGCCAGTGGCTCTGATTGTCTGGTTTCCTGCGTGTGTTAATAAGTGTGTTTATATATGTTATGGGTTACGGCAGAGGACAGACCAGGGTTGTTTTTGACAGACAAGGTGAGTATTCATTCAGTTCCCATGAGAAATCCTAATGGCTTTTGGCAGAAGTGTCCTGATAGAACTCCGTGAAATACCAGAGTGGTTAAATTGCCAGGCCCTTTAGTTTAACGAACCTGGAATAGAACATAGGCTCTTTGCAATTCCCCAAAATGAAAAAAATATCCACAGTGACACTCACCATCCTTCATTTTCAATACTTCAGAAAACAAGCTGGCCCTCTAGATGAGAAATCCCCTCCTCTCACTTCCAATAACGGGAACAGACAGGATGTGTTGATCTCCCCCTTCTTCTTTGGGGTCCCGATTCCTAGCATGTGATGTCCTCACATGGCCTACAGCTAGGCCCTAAACTCATCTGTAGTGAAAACCACCTTCACATCATGGTTATGGGGATTAAGTGACATTAACAATGTGATAGCTCCTCGTAAAATCCACAACCTATGAATGCAGAGATTGTCAGTGTAGTGATTGTTTTGGATAAAGCAGAAACAATCTGATTCACAAATGAGGTTTCATTATAAGTTCATGGTCAACTGTACAGTAACTTGGAGAAGTGGTTCTATTATATTTTGGGGTATCCACTACTGTTATAGAAAGGAAATTTAATTAAAAATCATATGGAAATGGAGACATGAGCCAATAAAAGTTAAGAAGTAATGAGTCCAGGCTGAAACAGCGCACTTAACTCAACCCATGTGTCTTGATGTAGCTGCCTACAGAGCATGTCAGACAAGTGTGTGCCTTCACACTGCCATCTGGCTTCCCTCTGTGAGCGCAGGACTCGCTTAGGTCATAGTGGTGTGCTTAGTTCTTAATTTCCTTCCATTTATTACTTTGTTTCATTATTTTAAATTAGACTTTGCATCTAATTTTTTATTAAGACTACTGTAATTGGCTTTGCTTCCAGTGTTTTGTTTTGTTTTTCATTAAGTAAAATATGGCCACACCTGTTACCAAATGAGAAACTTACTCTCAGAACATCTGAGAAAAACCTGGAGGCCACTGTACCAACTGAAGTCCCCATGAACTCATTAGATACCAGAGCACGGGGACACTGAATACTGCTTCTGTTGAGGGCTGTTCTCTTTCCCAGTTTTGTTTGCTTGTTTGTTTGGGGAAAGAAAATAAACAAAACACTAAGTCCTTACAAACAACAAATGAAAAATCACAACATTAATTTTATATTTAAATGTCAATTAAATATAAAGAATTAAAACACTCATTTGTTTCACTAAAAATAGCTAAGACACTTCCATTTCATAATAAAGATAGCTGAGCAGCTGAATCAGAGGGAAAGGAAGAGATCTCCAATGTGAGGAGAGGGGTTTGAGTGACAGGCAGGTGAGGTAGCAGGGTGGTGCAGCCACAGGATTCAGTGGGAACACGGGGCTGGCACAAGGGTCAGGCACTAGAGTCTACGTGATGATTACATGAGCAAGAAGCAGTTGTTGTTCCTCTTAGCCTGCCTGGAGACTGAATTTTGAGCATCCTTTAGCTCTACCAGTAAACTGGTTGTCTTACCCTCTGATAGCACCACAGCATTAATTGTTAAGTCTGGTAAGTTTTGTCTCAAATAAGGCAGCTACCACCCCACCAGTGAGTGAAAATAGATACTATTTTATAAACCTCTTCACAGTGGTAGAGATGACATCATCCCACAGGGAATTTACCCCTTCCAGACAATAGGGAGGGCAGGATGGGTTTGTTGCTGGGGACCAAACTAATGAAATCAGTCAGCTTTACATTTTACCAAAATTACCTCTGACACACAGGTTTTACAGTTGGGCTTATTCTGTCAATAAATTTTTCATGGAAAGTTAGGTTATTTAGATCAGCAAGGTTCACATAGCATGCTCCAGCTGTAATATGCTAGCTAAATTGCAACCCAGTGGCCCGAAAGAATTAATTCATCTCCCAAAATGTGAAATTAAATCCTAGGGAGTAACATTACATGACTGATGATGTACTGAATTAAATTAAGGGGAGACTTGAATGCTTGTTAAAAAAAATATCACTTACATAAACTAGTTTATAACCACCCGTGGGCCTCCTAATGGGTCACGTTAGGGGGGAGCCACCGTCACAAAAACCTAAACGGTGAACTACCAGAGAGCAGTTCAGTTTAGGAGAAAGCACGATTTTGATCCAGTTCTCCCTTCTTCCTGTCAGATAGTTTCACGTGGGTATTGTGTTGGAAAAGGAAGGCACTGTGATGAAGCTGATTATTCCAGTAAAGTTCTAGGGAGGGGACGAAGCCTGAGACCCCGCCCACACTTGCCAGGATGTCCTGGAGTCCTTCCTTGTGGTAGGTGGTGTAATTACCACTTGCTCGGGGGCGGCAGCAAAGCACTCTCTGTCCATTGAAGGTTTCTGAAGGAGGAGCCTGAGTAGCGGGGTGTGCACCTTGTCCGTTGACACCTTGAGATGGTCTCAGCTCATTAAATGAACTGAGGCCGGAGGCAGAGGCTCCATTTTGTGGCCACTGCAGATGGAGAAAGTGCCCTCTCCTGTGCTTTCATTACAGGCTGCCCTTTTTGCATGGCCGACCTTATTATTCACACATAAAATGTGCTCATATTTTATTTAGATTTGAAATTTAATGCAAAGGGGACTATGTAATATAGCACACAAGGCTCTTATTCAAAAGAGAGTGACTAAATAGAGTAATAAGGGACAGGGAACATGGAGGCGGCGGTTTCTCCACACCCAGCAGATACCTCTGGAGGCCCATCACTCTGTCTCAGAGTGACACTCAGGGAGGCCTGTGTCATGCCACAAAGATAAAGGACATCGCCAAAGTGAGAAATGGGTAAAGTCAGGAGAGGTTCCATCTCTTGTGGTAGATTTAGTTTGGTTTTATGGGAGTGAGAAAGATTGCATGTGTGTACACGCATATTAACACATGTGCACATACAGCCTGCATGTGAGTGGGAGAATCTGTGTCCATAAGATTCTCAACCACAGAAGGTTCCAATAAAATCTCCTATCTATACTGAGCACACACAGACTTTTTTTTATGTTATTATCCCCTACACATTACATTAGCTATTTATGTAGCATTTCTATTACATTGGATTTTGTGGGTAATTTAGAGATAATTAAAATATACAGAGGGATGCAAATACTATGGCATTTTTCATAAAGGATTTGAACATCCACAGTACCCAAAGGGATCCTGGAAACCTCCATGGATACGGAAGAATTGTATAGGAAATGTAACTATCGTTTACTCTAGTCTCCTTTTTATTTCCTTTCATTTTCAGTCTCCTCCTCCTTCTGACTCTGAACTAAAAGTCCAAAGCTCTGAGGCTGGCCCTGGGTATCCCCTCTGACTCTGAGACTGGCCCTGGGCATCCTCTCTGACTCTGAGACTGGTCCTGGGCATCCTCTCTGACTCAGAGGCTGGCCCTGGGTATCCTCTCTGACTCTGAGGCTGGCCCTGGGAATCTTCTCTGACTCAGAGACTGGCCGTGGGAATCTTCTCTGACTCAGAGGCTGGCCCTGGGCATCCTCTCTGACTCTGAGGCTAGCTGTGGTCCTCACCTACTTTATCAGTTTAGGCTCATTGACTGACACATGAAGATCCCACTGGATGGTGGATGGTGTGGACCTCCTACCCAGTGTTAGTTTTTAAACCCTGTGATGGCTCCCTATTGTGCCCAAGTTTGGAACTTTTGCTTTATCTTATTTGCATAGGTCTGGTCCTCCAACCTTACTTCATTTCTTCCAGCCTGAGGATGGAGAAAAACACCTGACATGGACCTTGATTCAAAGGCACTAATGAATAGGGTCTGAGCTGAAGTGTTTGTTTAATTTTAATATGCAAACTACTAGAACATGTAATAGCAAAACAGGCTGTGAATGTCTAATCCTCTCACATCACTAGCACTAAGTTTCCACCGTGCCACTCAGGCAGGCTTCCTTACAGTCAAGTGTGATGCCTCCACTGCAGCTGCGAGTCTTGGCTGCTGTAGTCTCTGCTGATTCCTACTGGTCTTTTCTAAGATCATGGGAAGCATATAAATGGGTTGTTACTTATGACACGGATATTTGCCTTCAGATAGAGGTGTGTGCATGTGCTTGTGTGTGCCTGGGTGTGTGTGTGTGTGTGTGTGTGTGTGTGTGTGTGTGTGTGTGTGTGTGATAGTGTGTGCATGTGATTGTGTGTGTGTGTTAGTGTGTGTATACAATTGTGGTGTGTGATTGTGTGTGTGTGTGTGTGTGTGTGTGTGTGTGTGTGTGTGTGTGTGTGTGTGTGAACTTGATAGATGAACCATTTGGCCAAACAGAAGCATACTCTACTCAGTAAACAGAAACCAATACTTATTTCTGAGTAGCTACATGAGGAGAACTAATGAGCACATCGGTGCTCAGAAGTTTTATTTCAACCAAATATCTCTAGGATCCTGGGACTCTTCATCCGAGGCATTGAAGAAAACAGCAGGTGTAAGCAGGAGGGACTATTTCAGGAGAACGAATGTATTGTAAAAATCAACAACGTGGAACTCCTGGACAAAACTTTCGCTCAGTAAGCATTCTTCTCATTGTTTATTTACTTTATTGATCTCTTGAATATTTATAATCATTATAGAGCCCATTATGACCAACATCATAGGTGGAATGTCAAGCCAGTTCCCTTTAAGTGACCCCTGACCATCCATTTCTGACTGCGTTTTATGTCTTGACATACTCAGAGGTGGCCAACACATGTGCCTGATGTCTGCAGGGAGGTTGAGACACAGAATGAATGCAGCAAGCCTGCCTGCCTGCCTGTCTTTCTGGGACATCCATGAATGAAGGGGTTTGTTTTTCTTGGGCTATGGGTCAGTTAGACTGGTATTTACTGGCTCTTTTCACAGACAATTAATTCAGCTTATTAATTAACCTCCTTGATGTCAGTCTTCTTTAAACTGTAAAATCTGTGGGTGATGTCTATGAAGACTCAACGAATAATAGAAGCAAATTGTAAAAATTAAATGTAAAATGCTCTTCTCAAGATATCATCTATCTGAATGTGAAAAATCTTACAGGGAATATCTGTTTCTACACAGGAATTAGAATATGTAGAATCCAGCTGCATCTAGCTATACATATCTACATATACACATATGTATTGATGTGCATTGACATTTTGAGAGCTTCTAAGTTCAGCAAATGAGTAGTGATAATCTTCATTAATAATCAGTAGCCTATCTTGCTTCTGAGCCAAATTGCTCATAACACAGCATCTCCCTGGCCATTACCTGTCAATAGTGGGGGCTGGTGGCTGCTGATGGAAGGTATGTAGTACTGGCTGCTGTTTAGAGGTAGAATGAAATGAGGTCTTTCTAAAACATTTAGTACATTCAGCTATTATTGGACAGAATTATGATAATTATTAATAATTATGTTATATGCATATTTTGCTGCCCTGCTTTGCAAAGTCTAGGGAGCCTGATGGTCCCTGTTTTATCAAAGTGGGAACTGAGTCATAAAACACCAACTTAGAGTCAAGTAAAAATAATCTATTAATAATCTGATTTTTAAAAAGAAGGATTTAAATTTGCTTTAAATATGTGCTTCAGTAATTACTTCTGGGTAGATTTTCATATTTAGAAACACTTGAAAGCTGAGTTGTCAGTTAAGTTCTTAAGTCTCTCTGAGCTTCCACTTGAATTTGTTAAATACAAGTGAATTATATTTGCTTTATATAGTTGTTAAGAAAAATAAACTAGAGGATTATACACAGTCATCATCATGCATGTGTAGCTAGTGTGGAGACACCTTAGTGGACAGGTTGTAAACAGTAAGTGGTAACTAGTTAGCAGGGTCATACTGTAGTGATAATCCCAGGACCTCCTATACATACTCTAGGAAGCTGCTTTATTGCCCCCAGACCTGTGTACCTTAGAAAGTGGCATGCCAGAACATGGTATCATCTCCATTTCTTCACTCTTTCAAGGGCCCAGGATGTCTTCCGCCAGGCAATGAAATCCCCCAGTGTGGTCCTTCATGTGCTTCTGCCTCAAAACCGTGAGCGCTATGAGAAATCAGTCATTCGACCACTGAACATCTTTGGCAACAATGATGGGACTTTGAGAGCAAAGGCTCCGCCTCCTGCCCGTGGGAAACCAGGATTAAAGGCAGCAAATCTCCCAAGACCCAACAGTCCTGAAGCAGATGAGTCAACTTCCCCACAGCAAAGCAAGAGCCCCCAAGTTCCAAGACAGGAAAGAAAACCTGCATCTCCCTCACTCTCCCCTTTCATTGGGTTTGGCAGCAGGAAAAATGCAAAAAAAATTAAGATTGACCTAAAGAAAGGTAATTATTAAATTGTGCTTAATAGCATTCTATTATTGTACCATGTAAAACTGGTTAAGAGAAATTCATTAAGGTTAATGTAGTTAATTCCCTTTTTATCTAATTGTATCAAAGAATAGATTTGAGTGTGTACTTAGATAATTTAAAGTTTTTAAAACTGTAGTACTTTCTTCTGCAAAATTTAGATTATTTGAAACAAACAAACAAAACAGTGAGGAATGGGGAGGATCAGTGCAGACTTGATAAAAGCCAAGCAGCATTGTGTGACAGCTCAATAGTGAGTAGGCATAAAAGCTTAATTGCCTTTATTTTGAGTGTAAGTTAGTGATTTTCTTAAAGCATCCTTTAGGCCAGTTCAACAATAGGGCCTCTGGCTCTATAGCATGGTTTTTATATCAGTGAGATATTTAGTCTTCAGAAAGGCAATAGATAATGATTATTAATCTCAGACTCAACATTATATTTCTTCAAGAAAGTCAAAATTTCAAAGCTGCACACCTTTTGTCTGTTTCCAGCACAGAGCAATTATCCTGGGCCACATGTGTGCATGCATATGGTGCAGCATTACACACATGTGCATGTGTACATGCACTGTTGTGTTCCTGTTCATTCCCTACTCATTCCTTACCCTCCACCTGATACTCCCTCCTTCCATTGTAACGTTCTAAAATCCAGTGGTTTTTCAAGCCAATTCAAAGGCTAACAGGTTTTTTCACTAAATTAATAATGTAATGGCCACCAGGAAATTTTTAATATTATTTGTGAATTTCAAAAACAGCATGTATCTTTCATTAGGATATAGAAATTATTCTGAAGATTTCTCAATCAGAATTTTATTCACTTATAAAAGTCTTATTTTGGGGATAAAGGGAGTTGAAAGAAGGCACAGAGGTTGATATGCTTGTATTTAAGTGCATTACAAATAAGTCATGTCCAAATGCATTGTTGTGTAGCAATAACCCAACTATGTGTATGAGTTAGGTACTTTGAGATGAGAGAGTCATGAAAAGATATCCCGAAGAAGACAGCAGATCAACAAGGGTGGATTGCCTCTGTCTAAATGTGGGACTATAATAGGCATGCCTTAATAGATAAATGGTTGTAGGAAGGAAGAAAGAAAAATTACAGTTTTTGCTGAGGTTTTCAGCCAGGGCAAATTGCATACTGGAAATGTCATTGATTGAAATTAGAATTTTAAGTAGTTGAGGATATTTGATAATGGCAGGATCTGGGTTAAAGAAGGAGAAACATAGCAAAGTTTGAAATATTCATAATTATATTCAGGAAAGAGAGGGATAGACATGGAGGCACAGAGGGAGATGGAGAGGTGAGAGGAGAGCGGGCAAATGAAACACACAGATGCTAGCTCTAGTCTATAAAATAATAATAATGACAATGAATCAAAGAGCTGATGGAGGCCATCGTGACCAGTACAAAAACTGGTCCAATACCGATCGTTGGGCCTCATCTGTGCTGATGTGGGAGCACAGTGGTGTGAGTTCTGGGGTCACAGACATGGTATGATGAGAAAGATATGAAAATAAAAATGTTAAAAATCAAGGGGGAGCTCATTTCTGAAAATGATAATTAGAAAGTATCAAAGATGGATAGGTAAGAAATAAGGCCAACTATGGAAAGAATTCCTGGTGATGGTCATAGGAAATGTGTCTGTCAGCTTCCTAAAACTCATAAGAAGGGATAGGAAATAGGAGAGGGTTTGGGACTCACAATTTTGGAAGCCTCAGTTCCTGGCTTGTTGGCCAGCTGCTTTTGGACCTATAGCAAAGCAATGGAGCATGGTGGGAATGTGTGGTAGAGCAAGCCTCTCACTTTCTAGCAGCCCAGAAGCAAAGAAAGAGAACCATGAGGAGTGAGGGGGCCATAGCTCCTTCTGTGTCATGCACCTAATGACCTTACGTCCTTCTACTAAGCCCCACGCCCTAAAGGTCCTACCACATCCCAGTGTGTTGCAGGCTGGCGGCATGGCTCTTTGTGAGATGCTTATCCAAACCAAAGCAGTACTTTATTCATGATAGAAGCTTCAAGAAATGCTAGTAATTGAGTATAGATTGTTTACAGTTGGGAAATCTGCATACATCTTTCGACAGAATAGAAGGGAGAAGTCGGAGATTTAAGACAACCGGGATGGGACGGCAAGGCCCTCTGGGGACAAGACAGTGGTTACAGCAGTCAAGCTATCAGGACACATGCAGAGGCCTGAGCCATAAACTACTCAGTTGATTGAGAGACCACAAAATCCCAACAGAGGAAGGTGCCTGCTTGGGAGGAAAGATGAAGTCAGGAGGTAGATGAATGAGGAATTGATGCTATGGACATATGGATGCCATGCATTGTCTTCTAGAACCCAAATACACAAAAGTGTCATGTGTATTTATTGGATCCTAACTTCACTTTGATGCTATTATTGCCTGTTTGGAACTCTAATCTTTATTTAAAACAGGAAAACTGAAGCCTCTGTAAAAACCTCCTGGAATGTAAATAATTTACTTGATCTGCTTTAATGTAAAATAAGCAGAGTTTACTAAAAGAGTGAATGTAATTGTAACCCATGCTTAAGGTGACAATACATCTTTCTGGTCTTGCGTGCTAGGCCCTGAAGGACTTGGTTTCACTGTGGTAACCAGAGATTCTTCTATACATGGTCCCGGTCCCATTTTTGTAAAAAACATCTTACCAAAGGGAGCAGCAATAAAGGATGGCCGCCTGCAATCAGGGGACAGAATTTTGGAGGTAAGAGTTGAAGTTAATGTCTTCAGTAAAATATTTCCTTATATTTAAGTAAATAATATATAGACATATGTAGTAATCACTTGCTGTCTCTTGTTGATCCTAGTACCCTCCAAAACTACTAACATCTGCAGATGTCCAACTCCTTTCTATAAAATAACATTGGATTTGCATATAAATGATACCTTAAATTGTCACTCATTTTGGGGGGCTTGCCACCCAGCTCCCAAATAAATTCACACACAGAGGCTTATGGCTTATTATTACTTATGAATGCCCAGAATTAGCTTGGATTTTTTCTTACCAGCTTTCCTTTCTTGCTAGCTTTCCTTAACTTTAGATTACCTCATCTGTCTTTTTCCTCTGGGCTTTTCCGGTTCTCTTACTTCTATAAATCTTACTCTTACTCTGTGTCTTGCTGTTTAGCGGGGCAGCTGGTCCCTAGAGTTCTTCTCCTTCTCTGGTTGATAGCTCCTTCCCCTAGATTTCTCCCTCTATATATTCTCTCTATCTGCCAGCCCCACCTATCCTTTCTCCTGCCTTGCTAGGAGATGGTTCTTTATTAGACCATCAGGTGTCTGAGAAAGGCACAGTAACACAGCTTTACAGGGTTAAACAAATGCAACATAAACAAAAGTAACACACCTTAAAATATTCTACTACACACACACATATCAACAATCAATGTAAAAAGAGGTAAGGGGTATATATGGGGAGGGGAAGGTTTGGAGGGAGGAAAGGAAAGGGGAAAATGATATAATTATAATCTCAAAAATAAAAGAAAAAATTGTCACTTAGATGATTTATAATACCTAACACTATCCAAACGCTATTTAAACAGTATGTCTTATTTAGAAAATAACAAAACTAGTTTGCCAGTGTTCAGTATAGATACATCTTTATCTGAAGTTGATTAAACTTACAGATATTGAGGATTGACTAGATATAAATGTTTAATTTCTAATGAAACATATGTTGGAAATTAGTACTTGTAGACAAGATAATGACTTAAATTATAAAACTAGCTAATGAGGAGCCTAACTATGTATGTCCCCAAGAAGGTCAGAGATGTGGGACCAAATACTACCATTCTCCCACCACCTTCTTTCTTTCACCTGTGGTGTTGAATTAATCTAGGAGTCTGTTACTGCTTAGTCGGGGCAAACAATTTCATAGTCTTACACAGGACTTTGTAGTAGTTTCTTCAAAACTTTGAGGGGGTCTCCTATTGACACTGTCAGACCAAAATCAGTATCAACTACACTCAGCCAGGAATAGGAATGCTGATCTGGTTTTGCATAGAAAAGTATTTAGATACCCAGATGTGAGGCTTGTTTCTCCCACTGATTTCTGTCCAATAGCAACATCATCTCAATAAGGAACTTTGAACAATCAACCATGAAAGACATCTTGGTTGAGACTGACTGGTTTTAAATCTCCCATGACATGGGAAGTTGCTTTCAAAAGTATTTTCACTGGGAATGTATGTTTTGGAAACATTTTAGCAATCCATGTAGTTCTAGATCGGGAAGGATGCTCTATGTGACAAACAAAGCTCTGAGGCTGATTTCCACTAACCTGCTGATACCACTTTTCTAGACAAAAGGAGCATTTGGGATTACACCAAAATACTTGTACTTCTAGAGTAATGTGCCATATGATAAATAATTTACTTCTGCCTGGTATATTGCAGTCCACTTCATGCTTATTTGATGAATCAATTTCTGACGCTTCTCAGTCTGATATTTCCCCTTGTAAAAATGTAATGACTTAGGAAAAATTCCCATGATAAAATAATGTATCGACTGAGTTTGTCTAGTATCAAAATGATGATGATGGTGTTATTATTGAAAATGTATGTGCCTGACCATACGCTTAGGGTCATCTTTTCAGAACTTCATTGAATTCACGAACCCATTTGTTGCATAGTTAATTCACAAAATAGAATTTAAAAAATAAAAAACACTTAGGAGGTGTGCTGTGCATGGTGGTACAAGCCTATAATCCCAGCATTCAAGACAAGAGTGAGCTCTGCGAGAAAGATCTGAGTTCAAGGACAACCTTGGCTATACAGCAATAATACCCTGGGCAACTCAGCAAGACCTGTCTAAAAGGGACAGGGGAGGTAATGGGAAAGATTCTGAGTGTGCTTATGTATATGGTTCTACTCACTAGGTAAATGGCAGAGATGTCACAGGAAGAACTCAGGAAGAGCTTGTGGCCATGCTGAGGAGCACCAAGCAGGGAGAAACAGTATTACTGGTCATTGCCCGCCAAGAAGAGAGCTTCCTGCCCCGAGAGCTGGTAATGTTAAAGCCTCTGTCTTCTTGAGGTTTTGGTGCCATGATTAGCGTCTGTATGGAACTTATACTAACTGAGTACTGCCGTTAAATTTGGGCTGTGTTTAGAACAAACATAGGGTGTGAGTGTGTTATCCCATTTGGAGTATCAGACTTGTCTACTGATGCGTTGAGGGCATGTATGTATGTGTACACAGGGCCTTGAGAGCACAAACTCCAATAGGTTTTGATAACAAATAGCTATCTGCACAATTCAGTAAAATATACATTTGAGTTTAGATTTTCAACTAGATGAGCAGCATAGTTCATAGGTCTCCTTTAATGTGTATTCTAAGTAGCAACTTAATGGGAGACATAGGTAACTGGGGAAACTGGGTGAGGAATAAGTAAAGTAATGTCATGCTCTCATTACATTTTTCTGTAAATCTACAACTGTTTTAAACTTAAGAATTAACAAATAAGTAAAAGAGAAATAACTTCAAAGGAGGTAACTCATACCTGGCACTGGGCCTTTTATTTTCTAGCCTATAGATCTAATAGGGGCATTGTTCTTCCATAGGGGGTAACTCCATTTAAACTTTATATGTATATATTTTAAGAAGCTTCTACATTCGTAGGTTTCCATATGACTTTCTCAAGAGGTCTGTAGAGTTAGTTATTCTTCTCATCCAATTTAACCTTTCCAATTTCATTATTCTATCCTCCCCCGCTCCCCCCTTATACACTGTGTTATACCTCCCTTCCCTTGAAAGCACCCCAATGACATACACACACAACCACTTCGTGGTCCTTTAATACTTTCTAGACTTCTGTGAGTTTTCTAAGGGAAACATGCAAAACTAAAATTTAAAGCTAGCATCTACATATGAAAGGAAACGTGTGATTTTGTCTTTCTGGATCACCCCACTCAGGATTATGGTATGCTTTTATTTATTTATAGGTTATGTTCATTTACCTGCATATTTCATAACTTTGTTTTTCTTAACAGATGAATGCTATTCCATTGTGTAAATGTGCCACATGTTCATTATCTATTCAACAGTTGATGGACATCTGGACTGTTTACATGTCCTAGGTATCAGGAATAGAGCAGCAATTAACACAGATGAGCAGTTATCTCTCTAGTAGGATATAGATCCTTTGGGTATATGCCCAAGAGTGATCTAGCTGGATCATGTGATAGATATGTTTCTATGTTTTAAAGGAACCTCCAAACTGAATTCAATAGTGGCTTCAGCAGTTTTCACTCCCCACAGCAGAGAATAAGTATCTCTATTTTCATATATATATAATTATCACCATGTATTGTCATTTTTTTTATCTTAGTCATTCTGACTGTAGGAGTTGTTGACCATTGGGGCTGCATAGACCCACAAACATTACAGAGTATTGCCGCTACTCTTGGTTAACCTCCAGAACTTGGCAGTAAGACCCTATTGCTGAAGATGCCATATACTTGAGTGATAAAACATGGAGAAATCAATTTGGTACTAACCTGGAATGGTACTGCCTGCCTTCCATAGTGCTGGAAGGTGCTCTGCATGCTGTCCGAGGAGAAGAGTAATCATCAGTCTTCCCTATCTGTGATCCTGTGAGCCGCAGTAGTGAATGACCTTGCAAAATATGCCCACTGGTAAATGTTTTAGGAATAACCAAACACTTTCTGATTGGATTAAATTTGGACCCACAATAAGGAATCCATACCTGCACTGTTAGAACCTGTGTCTACAAAGGTCATAGACCTTAAGGGAGAATTACTACTATTATTCTCCTAAATGGACATTAGTATTAAACTTGCTCCTAAGGACTTATTGCTATGCCCATAGATTAATGCATCTCTCAGCTCTCATCAAGAAGCTGCTTCTTATAGTACATGATGATTAGCATGGAGAGTTGCAACTGGTCAACCTGCAGAGAATAAGAGACTTCAGAGTCCCCAGCCCCAAATGGAACATCTGGATTGCACACCTCCCCAAAAAAGCTCGGGGTCATTGTGGAAGAGGCAGCAGTTGATTCCAGTGAGTGATGAAACAGTATGTTCTGAACTAAACAGAGCAGTTACACATATGAACTGACAGTAGCTATGTCAGCATGCACAAGCATATTCAAGCCAGACAAAATTCCATCATGGAGGAGGGAAGTGGGGGAAGGTTTTACCCCTACCTGAATAACTGTTGCTAATTGATAGCTTCTGGGAGAAGGAGAGTAAGTTTTCTTTAAGGGTATGACCATGGTAGGATAACCGTGACAAGGGAGGGGTTGGCTCTATACCCAAGAGTATTTAATCAATGGAAATTGGAGTTGTTGGGCTTTTGAAGAAGAGAAAAGAAAAAAAGAAGACAAGAAGTTGGATAGTTAAGGAGGTGGGGTAGATCTGGGAGGAATTCCAGGAGGGTGTGAGCAAATCATATTGTATAAAATTCTCCATTTACTCAGGGGGGCATGAGTTATGAAAAGGATAAAAAGCTAACTTTTTGTTGTTGTTGTTGTTTTGTTGTTGTTGTTATATTTTTTGCTGTGGTGGGTGGCAGTGGGTAAGTGTATAGGATATATTTGATACTAAGAGTGTAAAATTTACTGTGAAGTTACACAGTCATTCTGAATGCCTTTTCTAACTGTATCAGTGTTTATTAAGTTGTATAGCCTTTGGGTCTTGTTAATTGTGGGTGTGTGATGTTTTTTATTTTTTTTTATAATAAAGTATATAAAATTAATTTTAAAAATAGATTATTAAAGAACTAATAAAACATTACTTAAAAGAGAAAAATTTAAATGAATGGAAATAAAAATACACTCAAGTGCTCAAAATGGGCATGAAGGTCATGAAGAGATCTGCAGAGCAGTACAATTACACTCCACAGAAGAATCTGACCTGTTTTGAGCTTGGAGAAAGGTGTCTTAAGAGAATTTCAAGTCAATAAAAATGAATCTCCTCCTACCCAGAAACTGATCCTCTAGTAATTTTTTTTAATTGATGATCAAAGATGTACAAACGTTAATGTACATTGACTTTTCCCCTCATGTAGCATAGTAACATGTTTGATGTGTACAACTCAAAGCTGTTGGCTAGATAAATAACTGTATATTTCTCCAGTAAAATATAATCAATACTTAAAATGGTATTATTGAAGGATTGTTTGTAATTTGAGAAAATCCATAGCATAATGCTGATTAAAATGTAGGGCATAAAATTATATATGGAAAATGATCTAATTATATTAAAGGCTTGAAAAATAATTGGGAAGAAACACCTAAAATGTTAGAGTTTTGTATTTTGTTAACAATGAGAACATATTTATTTATTGAAATATTTTACTTTTAGGATGATTATAGAAATTTTAAAAGGACTGTTATACCTCAGAACAACAAGAAAAAAATGTGATAAAAATGATTCTTGGTTACCTCTTGTTTTGAATTTGAGTTGGGGAATTAGTGGCTCTTGAGAGGGCAGTTTAGAGATAATTGTTATTAAATATGTGAGGTGGTATTGTGTGGATTGGAAAATGAACTTACTACCTTTCCTTAAGCCTTTTATCCATTAATCAACTTAAGCATCAATTCAAGATCAACTACTACCTTCTGAGTACAAAGTTGGAGATTCTAGGAGTAATTTGAACTCATTTTCAGCTCCTATTGAGCTTGCCCCAAAGCAAATGGTTGGAAGAGTGTAATGTTGTAAGAACTTCTCAACCATACAAATGCACAAGGAGAAAATGAATTACTTAGAATATTCAAATCCAGCTTCATCTGTCAAAAATGTTGGACCCATGAGATGCTTCAGCAGCTAAAGACACTGGCTGCCAAACCTGATGCCCTTTGTTCTGTCTCCAGGACCCACACGAAGGAAAGATAACCAACTATACACACACACACACACACACACACACACACACACACACACACACACACACCTATTTCTCTGCACTCTTACTTTGCACATATCTAAGTGTAGTCTTGCTGAATCACTTCTCTTCCCCAGTAATGTTCCTTGTCTTATCCAAATGTCCTCCCCTCTTCCCTCCAAGTATTTTTTACATAGAATTTCCATTCTAGAAATATCCTATTTCTTTTTCATTGTCCTGTTCATTGTGCCCTCACTCTGTTACACACAGTGGGAAGATCTACAGCGAAAAATAAAAAAAAAGAAGCCGGGGGAGGGGGCAGCATGAACAGTATAAGCAGTATAACAGTAAGGACATGAGCCTTACTTCAATTCCTCTACTCTTCTCTGTGGCCATCCATTTTCCAAGGCAGAACCTGAAATGACACCTCGTCTCTCAGCTGGTCCCTTATTCTTCCCAAGAGAGATGATGAAGAAACCCAAAGTCCAAATATCGTCCTCTGAAGTATAGAGGATTTTTCCAATATTTCATTTATCCTCAGGGTTCCTCTAGGAGGGTCAAAGTGAAAAGAAACAAGAAAAAGAGTTACTGGGTGTACAAACACTACAAGTCCATTTCCTTATTATTCAATCCTCTGGATGACAGAGATGAAAATGATCATAAAACCTCAGGGAGACTATGTGCATATTTCAGAAAAGAAAAACAAAGAAAGGAAGAAACTTTGACATTTCCTTGAACTATGATTCTGGAAGGAATAAAACTCTAAATTAAGGGAGACATTGCAGCCGTCCAGTGAGAACCCAGGTGACAAAGCTCTCACTGGCTACTTAAACCCCCAGAAGGTCCATCCTTATCTGATAACTCCTTCAACTCCCTCCCATATGTCCTTTGGAATTCCTGACTCCAGGGCTAATCCTCATCATCTAGAATCCTTCCTTTATCTTCCCCTAGGCAAGAAGGGAAAAGGTATTTTGAGCTCTTAACTCAAAAGATACTTTTTTACTTAAAAAAATTTTGCACTTGGAATTTTACCAAATTGAGTAATGGAATTCTTAACATCCAAGTAAGTTTACCTCTCAATTTCTAAATTAAAATGAGTGCCAGCATAGTTCCATGATACATCTCAGTTTTCGCCAAAGAACTGGAAAGAGAGACCCGAGGT